CTTTATGATCTGCAGCTCCTGAACCCATCCATTCATGAACTGCACATGAGACTCCAAGGACTTGTAGCTTCTGAACTGTTTTGAAGTATAGGCGCTCACTCATCGGTGCTCCACTCATTGTTTGGAACTTCATATGGATCCAAATGATTAATAATGCTGCTTTTGTCACCATACCGGTCCCTGGCTTCTCTATTTAATGTGTCCCGGCAAATTCCAGATCCTTTTCGGGATTTTAACATCTCTTTTCTCTCCACTTCTGTCTCTTCTTTCAACAACAACGTTGTATCAGAGCTATGTTTACGTTTCCGTAGCCGTCAATATGACCGCGACGTCCCACAATGCAACGTGGATCCCGAGCCCTATTCTCTGGGACTTCTACTGTTAAAACTTTCCTTTTCGATAAAGCTTACGGTTAAAGTGGCGTAGGTTATCCTGACCTATCTTTATAGTTATGCTGCTATAGGCTTAGACTCTGGAGGACATAGGGATGCCTATTTCATCATTCTGTTTGATTCTATCTCTATTCTCACACTCTGCAAAATCAGTTGGTTCAATCTCTAACGTTATGCTCTCCCTGCTTATTCTCATAGTACCTGTTTGGCTATGACACCATACTGGAGAGAAATATCAGCTGTACTGCTGCCACCAACACCCTTGTTTATAGATGTTTGAGATCGGCCTGCCTATGTAAAGGTGATGGAAATGTCACACTCCGGGTTCTATCCGGTGCAGGCCAGGTTTTCTCTCTCTCTCCTCTGCAGGGATGGACGGGCAGATGCACTACATCTGAGGTGATCAGGAGGGCGTCAGTTCGTTAAAGCCACAGCGTTGGTAACAGACCAAACCCTAGCCTAGTCCTAGTGAAAGTAAAACCCTAGTCTAAATCCAGTTCTGATCCTTTTTCTGCAGAACCCTTGTTTCTGACCCCTGGACCCAGCCGTGAACAGTAGACCTTGGACCCTCCGCCTGAGAAACAACCAGGAACCCGAGAAGGATCTCGGGTTAACCACCGTTCAGCCCTCCCACCTGCGATCACCTGCCTGTCTACCCTGGAACCTCCAACCAGGGAGAGAGAACTGGTCAGCACATGGACCACCAGGGACACTTCCCCCCCAAGACCGGACCACAGCCTCTCTACTGTGAGTGTCAGCCCCACCAAAATCCTCCAGCACAGTTTCCTGTCATTCACCAGCCTCATCTTCTCTGCAGAAGCCCAGAAGAACCTGACCAGACCAAACTGCTTCCAGTTCATGTCCACTATCTTGTTTTTTTTTCAATAAAACCTCTTAAACCTTCTCCTGCCTCTGTAGTTGCTCTCGTCCAGAGTCACCTTCAATTATGACAAAAAAAGAAGCTTGCAGGGTAAAAACTGATAAAAAAAAAAGAGAGAGTCTGTTGATACATCAGGAAATATCGTTCCTTCTCATAGTCTGATACTGTTGCCTTTGTAAAAGCCGTACGATTTAACATGCCAAAAATGTTTGTGTGATACAGAAACCATAAACACTGGAGTAAAATGATACGGAGCGCTTTAAATGCCCAAGTGTCGTCATTCCAAAGTCCTTCATTTAATTTGTCTACAGTTTATTGGATGGACAGAATCTTTTAAAACTGGATAGAGATCTGCTTGACCGACTGACTTTTGCAAGAAGAATGCTCTATATTTTTAAAAGTGGGATTCAGTTAAAAGGTTAAAAGCATTCTTAGAACCAGCAGATAACTTTCAATGTGCCTTTGGTCTGAATAAACAGATATTGTTAGGAGAGCTAACTGATAGGCTGAGGTAGGCCAGAAATAAAAGTTAATGTCATCTAACATGGATTGCAAACTTAAAAATGTCACTGTGGTTCATGTGAACCTTGGAACTTTCTGCATTAGATGCTTTATTTTTACAATTATCCGGTAGGTTACAGTGACTTTCTAATCTGAAACTCAGAGGCTTAGTGCCAAAAAGAGGAAACGTTTTTGTTGTTTTCTCCAAAAAAAAAAAAAACTGTTAAAAAATATGTAGTTTAAAGATCTAAAAAGTATACTTAAAAGTATTTTTATTTTATTGATTGCTCTAACTGCCCTGCGATGGACTGGCGAAGTGTCTAAGGTGTACCCCGCCTCTCGCCTGTAGACAGCTGGAGATAGGCACCAGCACCCATCGCAACCCCAGCAGGGATAATGCTAGACAGAAAATGGATTCATGAATGATTGCTCTAACCCAGATGCATTCAGCACTTTAGGTTTTTGTTCTCTTTGAACATGTTTACACCCTCAGTAGAAATTTGATAACCAGAGAAATCGATTAACCGCTGTATCAGATCTAGTGAGGTCATATGCACTACAGCCAAGATATTAAAGAAATCTGTGTCTGCTCCAGTCTGCTATTGCATTTCATGCTTGCTGAACTGAAAGCTGGTGGGAGAGGTTGGTGCTTTAGAATTTACAGATGCAATGTGGAGAGACAACTTCAGGATGTCACAGAGCAAGAGTGCAATAAATACAAATGAGGCAGCAGTCTGTCTTGTAGTTTCTTTGGATTTTTTTCTTTTTACTTGGAAAAGAGGATCTTCTAAACCATGCCTAACCCTGCACAAAGCATGCATCCAACACTGAAGATAAAACAGTTAAGAGAGCTCTCACAGACCATTTACCCTTCAATTTCCCACTCGCAGGTTAATGTGATAGATTAGAACTGAAAATAAAGCTTATTTAACTTCATGTTTGATCGCTGTTTCTTTTCATTTGAAATTTTTCAGATGTCAGACAATGAAAAAAAGTCAGAGAACAGTGTTAAAATGCACAATATAGTACTGATAGAAAAGTCGTGAAACTACAATTTCGTAATATCTAAGATTTCTTGCTTATCATATTATTGGTGTTTACATTATCTTTTCAGGAATAGGGAAACCTCAAGAACGGCAGAAAGAGCAATCATGTTCATTTATACATGTCAAAAGGCCAAATAACACTGCTGACATACTTTTTAATTTTAGTGGAGTGCCTTATAATGATTTTTTATAATAATTTTTTTTAATCCAAACATGCTGAGTTTAAGTCAATTCTAAATCAGCCTTTTCAATATCAAGTCATTAAAATAACTAATTTTCAGTCCTATATGATCACATCAACATCTTTAAATTTGATTTTAGCATTCTATAAGTCATCAACCAGTCTTATTTATGTCTTAAAACAAAGGGTGGGATGGCACAGTATTGGCAGCTAGAAAAATTTAAGGATAAATAATTAAGGGAATTTTAACAGGTGCAATCGTGGCGTATCCATAGCATAGCCTGTGATTGAACATAATAGTGTTTGAAATTTTAGATCATTGCAATGACAGTGGATAAAGATTAAGGTAAACTCTGTTAAAGTGGTCCATTTTTGCAGGATGTATCAAATTGGTATCCTTTTATGACCGCCTCTCTAAACCTGTGTTTGAATTTTGGGTATTAATTAGCTGTGGACCATTCAAATGTACTAAAATGAAATGAAGATGAATACCACAGTCTGTTTGTAAAGAATCTATGTGAAGAGTTTTGCTTTATAACCTGAATTTATCAAATCAAATAACTTTTTGTTTACATTTTCATTAATTGATATTCATAAAGGAAATCAGGACAACAACAGGATGGATGCAAATGAATATAAGGGGGGAAAGAGAGGAAGAGTATGGAGGATCAATCCTGCCATAATATTCTTTTACTGAAATGCTGTATTTTTCTCTGTTGTTATTTATTTCCAATGAATGTATTTGTTTTTTAGTTTATTTAAACCTTTTTATTGTCTTCTTATTGTTTGACTCCCAAAATACATTTAAAACATTTTTTTTTACCCTTTATGTTATTTTTCCATTATTTTAGTTTGATTTTATGATTTTAATGGAACATCAAGGTTTCTAGAATGTTTGATGTGATTAGATGTGGAAAATGGCCCATCTGCAACCCATGCTTTTATTTTGAAGACACCCGAAAACTAACGCACCTCCGTGCTCCTTCAAACTAAAGGCCTAAATGTACTGGTAGCATACGACTTTTTAAACTCCAATCCAATTTTTTTCATCGTCACACTGACAGCATATAGAGAGGCTCTGACTCTACAGGGTCGGCAGATCTATGCAGATTTGTTTTCATTTCTGTCTCTGTGCCACACAAATTAAAATGATTCCCACATTTGACTTGGGAAAAATAATGAAAAGTTATCAAAAATATATAAAAAAAATAAAATAAGAAAACACTGGCACACTTATAAAGGAAAGCCCCATATAATTAGTCTGTGCAGCATCTCAAACCATAACTTATAGAGAATGTTCATATGCCACCAGCAGTTACTGACGTCTGCCAATAGCTGCAGCGGCGATGCTTTTCCAAAGCCTGCCCCTTAGTTTTTCTATTAACAGCTAGCTGTGTATGGAAGAGGTGAAAATACAGGAGGAAGAAAAAGAAGTGGCAGAAAAAGGAAAGGCGGAAATAAACGGCTTATGAAAAAATACTGGGATTAGAAAACATATCAGTTTTTAAAATAATAATAAAGCAAATAATTAGAAAATAATATAAAGAGTGGAAAAACCCGTTTAAATATATTTGGAAAGTCAAACAATAAATAAAGAGTAAAATGGGTTTTTAAAATAAAACAGCAACAAATTAACTTGAAATAAATAGGTAAAAAATGCAGCATTCAAAATACAGATGAAATAAAACAGTTAAAATAAAAGATATATAATTATGTCAAAAATGATTTACTATTTTTAAATATATCTCTAGTTGTTATCTGTTTCTTGCATTTCATAGCTCACTAATTTAAATATACATCCATTATTTCCCCATTAATTGATATTCATGATTTATTTGTTTATTTATGAAGGCAATTTTTTTTTTTTTATGGCAGGATTGGTCTTCCATAGAGGATGCAAGTAAATGCGAGTGGAAAGGAAAAAAAAATGATGTACGGGAAGAGAGGATGAAGTAATAAAGAAGTACTGATAAATGAGCTAAAAGGGGAGCAGGAGGATAGAGGGAGGGATAATAAGCATTTGGAAGGAAAAGGAAGAACGAAAATTAATTCATTTTTACGTTTCCATCTGCCCCCACGCGGGATTAAGGTGCCACGAAAGGATCGTTAGTAAACTCACTACAACACACCCACAGCACATTCTCCAGCACGGCGCGGTGAAGCTTAGACTGGTCCAGCTTTAGAAGCGCACCAACCGGCACAAACAAGCACCCAGCAGGGCGTCGCAGCCTCCAACGGGCACCCTGAAGAAACCATTTGGGGTGTTAAAGCGGGCGAGGACCATGGAGGGCCCAGTCAACGGCTCAGAACTCCGGAGCCAGCTCCCTGCAGTCAGCCACAACATCAGCTTCTGTCGGAACTTCACTGACAACGGCAGCTTTTCTGAGACGCGATGCGACGAAAACATTGGACTGACCAGCAGCCTGGAGGAAGACGCCAACCCGGTGATCATTGCGATCATAATCACCGCTCTTTACTCCATAGTTTGCATGGTGGGGCTGGTTGGTAACGTGCTGGTTATGTACATCATTGTAAGGTAAGCGCATTAAAGAGTCAAAGATTTGCCTTCTTTGTCTTTTGGTCGATATTTTAACATTTGCGGGTGCTTTAAAACTCTTATTACCTGTTGCTACAGGACATTAAACGCTGAGCAGTCGTGTGTGCGTGTGTTTAATAAACGCGCAGGTTCCAGGTAGGCTGCGGCTCGTGCGTAAAATGCGTCTTACTTCTCCTCACATTGGCATTCAAGCGCGCGAATGGCTACAACCCTAACCAAGAAAGAAGAAACAATATACACTTAATTTTACTGTTTTGAAACAATTAAATATAATTGCTTGATGCGTAACGCTGCTCCTTAGCGCAACTAAGCTGAAGTTTGCGCTGAATAAAAAAAAATGATGCACCATTGTGGCTGTCTAAATCCTCCGTGTCGTTGGTTTCAGTGTTTTCTGTGTGCGAATCATAGGGAAAATCCACAAATATTTGGAAAATGCTTTGAAATAACACACACAGATGTTTTTCTCTGCTCAGCTTCACAATTCACAATTTTACGCACAAGATAGGGAAAATTCCAGCTTCTTATAGCAGCTGCATAATACTTACCGTTTCCTCACGTTAATCTAGTCTGATTTTTTTTAAACTCAGTCAGCCACTAATTTACATCTTGAACTTTTGCAAAACAATCCTCAGCTTTCCATATAATGTCAGTGTGAACTTCTCGTATGTGCTAGAGGTGTCAAAAACATTCAGTGTTCTGATATATATATATTTTTCTCTGTAGCATGAGTTGCATGATCCAAACGGTCTAATTAAATATGGAAATCTGAAATTTGTGTTAGAAAGCTGCGCCTGATGGAGCTTTTGGACAAAAATAAAGGGTTAGATTGGTGAGAGAAATGTGTAGAATGGCAAATGGACATGGAGAAGCAGTGTTCATGGATGGATTTATTGAAAGTTGATCATGGTGATACAGGAGTTTGCAAGGATCATGTGAGAAAAACTCAGAGGAAGGGGTCATGGCTTTCTGCTCTCATGTGAGTGTGAAGTGATTACTCCATGCTCACATCATTGATCTCTTGGAGTGGTCTGGCAGAAGGTTTGCTGTAAGGAGGTTGTCAAACAAGAGCTTAATTCCATCTAGCTGTAAAGTGCAGACGTGTAAGAGAGTTATGTGGTTATTTGCCTATCTTTCACTGGCTGATGTTACACAACTGCTTAATTGCATCAAGAATTGCTCCATTTAACCCTATCCCAGTTGTGAAGCCGCTTTAAATGTTTCCTGAATTACAGCAGCTGCCAGAATCCTTTAACGTTCACTGCAGATAAGGTTATTTCACAGAAAAATACAAACTAACAGCTGTTTGGTAAACAAATCAAACCAGAGCAACTTAATAGCTCCACACTTATACTGCATTTAGTTTTAATGGCACTTTTAATGACTGCTGTAGTCTCAACATTATTCAACCCCTTCATGACATGAAGGGGTTAAGTGGCAGAATGAATGACATGAATGCAGTAGTAGCAGCTCAACAATAACTGATGGGGTGAAGCCCAGCAAACACGCCCCTAATGCTCCAGCATCAGATCCTCTTCCACCAGGGTAAAAATCCCATTTGGATGCCAAGATCCTATCCAGATCCATCTGACATCACTGCTGCCAAGCAAACATGAATGAGGCACATTCCATAACTAGATACAGTGACTTAATATCACAATGTTGTTGTTTTTTTATCACTGCCTTACCTTATCAAGGCTGCACTTTAAAAAATGAAGTTGTCTAGAGAGCTGTTCTAAACGAAATTTCTTTTTGTTTACACTTGTGTATACAAAATCTCAAAATAAATCTGTCTATGTCTAAGTCATACATCTTTAGTTCTATAGGAATAACATTTTGTTCTTCTGACATTTTGCAAACTTAATGCAGACAACAGTTTCCTTCAGCGTTCTTGGAAAATCTAAAACCACGTGATAAGCAGTGCCCCTAAAAATAATTTAATATTTTGGTTATTTGTTTTGCAAATGTCTTTGCTTTTATACTGCTTCTATATTTCTTCTATTGTATTATCTAATTAATTTAAAGCACATTGAATTATCCATGTACTGAATTGTGCTATACAAATAAACTTGCCTCCCCTGTATTGAAATTTGAGGTTATGTTGCTGCTTTTTTAAATTTCAATACATTTTTGTTAGACAACTAGATTGAACCCTATCATCTTATTGGATGTCCTCTTTAACCAGGCCTTGTAGGATCTTCAACTTGAAATCATTGGGCCACATGCAACATTATCTTATTCTTATTGTGAACTTCTTATACTTTTTGTCCTAAAGTGGGCTTTTACGAATGCGACGCGTCAAATTCACCAAATGCTCTTAACTTTAAATTATCTTTGTAAACTTAATACAGTCCACCTGTGCATAAGTGTGCATTCCCAAGAAATCTAAATCTGCATGATTACTATCAACCATCACGACAATGTTCTGCTAAATCTCCTTTTTATACACAGACACGTGTACCATACATCTCTAGACCACGTCTGCCATCCCTTCATCATACTCTCCATCTCTCTCACAATGCATAAACATATATAAAATATTGATGGAAAAACTCCAACTTGACAAAATCAGACAGACCCAAACCAAAATATTTCACATTTAGTGTAATAACAAAGTCAAGTAGCTGCCATGGAGTAAAATGAATGAAAGTCTTACTTTGACAAAATGACAACAAATTTAACCAGAGTAGAACATACCCGCAGCTGCAGGTTTAGTGACCAATGGTTGTCATGAAACGCGGACAGAGGGACCCAGTATTCAAGGAGAGACAGTCAGTAGGAAAGTTCAAAACGTTTATTAAATAAACAAACAAAACAAAAGCGGAGCTGTGGCTTGCGGACACTGCAGGATGGGCAGCGGGGCACCGCCTATCTCAGACACTCTGGTTTAGCAGTTCAGTCCATGAATGTCCCCAAGTGCTGCAGTTCCAGAGGACATGCTGGAAGCCGATCCTGGTCAGGGATCCAGAACAGACAGGAACAGAACAGGTGGCATGATCCAGACTTCCAGGCATCCACAAGCTCCCAGGAGGGTTCAGAGTCTGACTGGGACCAGAAGCATGACCAGGTGGTCACGCACAGGAGCAGACAGGATCAGGTGCAGATGAGCAGGCTCAGTGGAAGAGGGTAGCCGAGACAGGACGTGGAACCAGAACTAGATGCAGGGCTTTAAACTGGTCTCCTCCCTGGAGCCAGGCTTACTGAGATAAAAAACTGAACCTCCCCACATATAGAGCCAAAAACCCAGAGGACTCCGCAGGGGAGGAACAGTGGACGATCAGGAGACGAGACAAACACTAAAACTCTCTTTCCACTGGCCGCCAGGATCCAGGACACGAACCAAGGAATAAAACTAACAGATAGGCTAACAGAAAGACAAGTAATGATCTGGCACTGAATGCTCAGGCTGAAGGGAATTTAAACCAGAGGAAACAGGTGAGAGGAATAAATTATAATTGAGGCAGGGAGGGAAAAACGACAGGTGAAAGGAATGACTAATTAAGGGAGAGCAAACAGACCAGATCATGACAGTTATCAGCAAATAAAAATGTAATTTATAATGGCAGAGTTGGCTAATATATATTAATGAAAAATGGATTATCGCTTCTAAGTAAAACAAATGTAGTAATTTGGTGAAAAACTAGGTTCAGGCATCAGTTGAGTGATTGAGCAAGACTCCTATGTCACGTCTGGAGCACTTGTAACATGTTCACCCCTGAGAGAAGATTAGAAATAGGAGAAAGTGACATTCTCTTCTTAATCATGATTTAAGAACAAATTTGTGCGTATGAACAGTTCTTGCATTAGGCATATTGTCCTGTCTAAAGGTCCATTGATGCCCAATCCCTAGCCTTCTCACTAATTATATGACATTTTTTTTGATGTAAGTGGTGACGTCTTTGAGTTTAGGTATGGAAACCTTCAGTATTTAATCATTCCCTAATTTATACTCAAACCTGAGAGGCCACAGCCATCAAGTCTTGCTGCTAGTGAAAGAATGTTTTTGACCACGTCTGCAATAGAACCTGGTAGCACCCCCCTCTTTTAACTACTATATAGCATACTGTAGCCCTTGTTCTATTATTATAAACTTGCAAACTTTGCATACAGCTGAGCTCAAGGAACATTTTTTCCCTTTTCTGTCTTTGACTGTACCTAATTTTCTTTGTTTATGCAAGGCAATGATCCCTTTTCTATTTTCTTTATTTCTTTTTACTAAGTATGTTTTAAAATTCAATCAAATACAGTCAACAGTTGTGGTATTTGAAGCCTTTTATCTCAAGCACACAGATTAAAGAAGCCCTTGGCTGATGTCAATTGTTCTTGTGTAATGCTCTGAAAATGCATTTTTCTTCTTGAAAACTCAGACAATTTAAGCACAGGTTAAATCCTTTTGATGCAACTTCCGCTAAGTTTCACAAGTAATGTTAACATCATAAGATATGTTAGGGTCTCTGGGGTTTTGCTGTTTTTCTGGTGTGAGTGGGCTTCCCATCACAGAGAGCATCTTTAATTGTGGCTAGATCGACCAATGTTGCTGCACACCTGAGGACCTTTCTCAATCAAGACAATAAATATTTATATAAGGAGGTGAAGGATCATCTCTGTTTGCCAAATACCTAAACCAGGAATATCTTTCTTGGTGAAATTTGTTACTAGTGGATCTCTTTAATGTGGAATCTGTTATTGTTCCAGACAACCTGTGAACCTTAGTTTATCTCTGATCTTCATGGAAAAGGTCTTCCCTGTGTGCTGAGGTACTGAGTCTTCATCACCTGGCTACCCACTCTCCAGCATGATGTCTCTTGCAAGTGCCAACACTCGGATCTTGCTGACATTCTACTGAACCTCTGGGGTACAGCCTGCAAAGCCTGCTGCATCAAACCCTAAAGATCCATGCTGACTCCCCTTCATCCCTAAAGTAAGCAAATCAGTCATCAGTCGTTATCAACCAACTCCTTCCTGATCTGTCTGCTTTCACC